CACACACACACACACACACACACACACACACACACACACACACACACACACACACCAGGTTATTTATAAAACACTATGGCAAATAGCAGGTGAATCAAATTAGTTCCAAACACAATATTGACTGATGGATAATGGAAACTGTGACAGTATCACTCAGTATCTGTGGAGCAAATACGCACGGGTCAAAAAGAAGAGAGCAACCACTCCAAACTGTAAAACATGAGGACCCCAGGTTTTAACCCCGCTGATGCCATGATTCATCTCGTCGTCTGCCCTGTCACTTCTGGCCTCATACATAAACAGAGGAACTTATAGGATACTAAGAAAATAATACTTTCTCCTGGTAATTGGATGTTTTTAAGTACAATAAAATAATACATAGGTTACAGAGGAGTGACACACACAATGATTGGCACACTTCCTGAAACGGAATGACTTGACTGATGGGAGAACAAACACTAGCAGCCGGGCTGAATTAAATTCTGCTCCTGTCAGTGGAGTGCAGACAGACTGACAGGGACCACTTCTGCAGAGCCGGGGATTTGAGATTGTAGGCCTCCCCTCAGATCACGCTTGCTGTATTCAACATACATACAGTAAACAAGCAAAACATGTTTACTGGCTTGTTTCCTGTCTTCTTGGGTTAGATGATAAACCCAAAGTGAGTAACGTTTAGCTTAGCTTAGCACAAAGACAGGAAAGAGCTAGTTTGGCCCTGGGTTGAGATAATAAAAATCCATCCACTTGTTGATGTTTCATTGCTTTTTTCGGGTTGTCCGTCTGTCAGTACATCAGTGCCATTCTTGTGAACACAGTATCTCAGGAACGCCTTGAAGGAATCTCTTCAAATTTCATACAAACACACTTGGACTCACAAATGAGATGATTTGATTCGGTGGTCAAAGCTTATAAAATTATGTTTTTGGCCTATTGAACCTGATATCTCAAGTCTACCTTTGGGGAAATTCTTTAACATTTGACCAGTTGTCACTTGGACTCATTGTATTAGACTTCAGTGGTCAAGGTTTAAAGCTAACCTTATCTGTCTGGAAATAAAAATGTTGTAATCTGAAATTGCACTGGTTGGTGCAGGCATACAAACCCAGGACTGTTTTATAAGGTTGAATGCCAGACAACATGCTAGTTAACTGGCTTTAGAGGGGCTAACCTGTTAACCTGACTAGCTCTTTCCCCTGTAGTCTTTATGCTAGCTGCTAGATATAGCTTCATATTTAACTCTAATTTAACTCTCAGCAAGAAATGAAACAAGCATTTATAAAAGAATGACTAATTGGGTATTTATCTTTCCAGTCACCTTCCTCTGTGTTATGCTGGTGCTAAGAAAAGGGTTTGACAGTGACCCTCTCAACTCATCTCTCACTTGACAGCTGCTTGAACAGTGTTATCTCTAAACTAGTGTTAAACCCCGTTGACACACACCTTCTCCTGTACATACAGAAGGGTCACGGTGGGACAAAGTGAGTACAAACACAGCTCCCTTGAACCTTTCCATCAGTGGATTCCAAGGTCATTCCCAGAGGATTTATCGGATCAAAACGGCTGCCATTTTATCACCCTGTTGCTCTGCCAGCGTCACACCAAAAGCCTTTTCACACTGGATTCCCATTGTCACACGGATCCAGCACTTGGGTTTGACTAAAGCAGGGCGAGGTGGACCATGACCCACTCTGGCATCTCTGTGTATGTGTGTGTGTGTGTGTTTAGGATAGATAGAAAAGTGCTGGTAAGGTTACCCTCTAAATCGGTGGAGAGACAGGAGGGTGTCAACAAGGCCTCAGAGACACCATTCCTCAAATTCCGTCCCTCTCTTTGTGTGTGTGTACGTGCACAAGTGCATGCAGTATAAATACTGTTTATTGTCAAGAGAAAGTGATAGTTTCATATTGCAATAAAGTTACATAGCAAGGAGAAGATTATTAGCTAATGTTTACCAGCACCTACAAAGTTCACTGGATTTCTGTGGTTAGATTTAGTTTATTTAACTGAAATGTAAACTTGAACAAGTTGTGTTTTCTTTCTCCGCTACTAAGCTACTGACTGTAGACTCAAATTGAGTGTACAAACAAGAGATATCTAAAGTTCTTCATTAAAGGGTCAATCAAACATGATCTTAAAAGGCAGTGACTCTAAAAACACAAAGTAACACTGAGCACAAAGACTGGAAACAGGTGAAAGAACTACATCTGACATTTCCTCTTATTCAATAAACACCAATTGCCCTGTGGTTTAGCCTGAACTTTAGTCTACAAATAACTGGCAGTGAAAAATGATTTAGCCTGAAGCTTTGTTCATTTAAAGTGATTCAATCTTTTCCACTGTGGCACCAGAGGTTGAAGAGGAATTAATTTCAATTGACTGAGAGATGATACATGCATCAATCAAATGATCAAACAAACACTTTCCCCGTTCACATTTTCAGTTTGTTTAAATATTATGTTTGAGGCTCAAATGTGAGGTGAAAGACTTTTATCTTTGTCTTATGTCCATTAATAGTTGCCTTTACGTCACAAATTGATCTTTCATTTTTAGTCTTCTCTTCCTGAAAACTTTTCAGGTTAGTTATACGTCTTTATATAATATTCTATTATATTGTATTTCAGATGTTTCCATCCCTAGAAAGAAGCCATGAAAAACAATAAACCGACAGTTGGTGCAGCCTAACAGAATCAGATTTAGAATGCAGATGTGTGTCTTTGTTATCTTCTGTTCCATCGGTGTCTTGCCATTTACCTGCTCGTTTCATCATTTCTGTAATTTTTCTGCAAGAGCACAGTCTCTAGAGGGCGGCAGAGATCATGACCACTATTTTAAAAAGCAGGATCTGGTTTCTTTATGTGTTCATCTCTGTCCTACAGTCTCCAGCCAATTAGAATACAAAGATGCCAGCAACAGAAGTTTGGCCTCTGGCTGTCGGCCCTGCATTTCAAAGGTTGATGGCATGCCTCAGGGTACACAAATGGTTCCACTCTACTTCTCACCATAACGGTACTTTTTCAGAGCTTGGCTGATGTGTGAGGTGAAGCTGCCCTTGTGCACTGGAAAGGGAAATTCCTTGCCTCCTTTTAATAAATGACATATCCACTTTGTACCTCTATAATTTATTGATTCACATTAATCTTACTCTACAGTCAAGCGTTTCATCATGTCACGTGATCTCCATGAGATCCATTAGATCATCATCATCTACTAAACTACTTTTAGTAACAGTTTTTTTTATAATTTGCTGTTTCTAAAGTCATTAAATTGCTCTGAACATTTTGTACCTGAAACTGCTGTTCTGAGGAAGGCTGACATCAGGGTAATAAACTGGCTATAAATCATTGGTTTACAATGACAGAAATACATGAAATATTAATAAATCTTCCTTGAAACATCTAATTCTACCTTCGGGTTTTCACAAAGTAGGGCTACACTGGATTAAATATGTATTCAATTTCGTGAAAACAAAAAAACCTCGGGGCTTCTCTGCCAAATGAGCCTGATTCACATTTTGGTTGTGTTGTCCAAAGCTCAGTGAATAGTGAGTGAATATCCAAGTCGTCTGTTTTTGAAAACAAGATTGGAGGAGACTGTTGTTGTCATGGCGGAGAGGGCAGCCGTGTGTTCTCCTGTCTGACCAGCTGTTGTTTTGCAGGCTAAACTGAGCTGTGCTGTAAAGACGACAAAGGTTTCCCACTGGCCAGAGGCTCAGCCTGGCACTGTAATCACTCAGATGGCTGAGAACAGGTGAGGGACTCATTACACAACACGCCCATGTATAAATGCCCGCACATGCACTGATCCACGTGCACAAACACACACAGACACACACAAAGATGTGCACGTGCATGCTGGAACACGCACTTGCACCCAGAGGGGCTGTAGAGTCATTAATCTGGCAGTGGAGGAATTCATACATAGGATCTGAGATAATTGGCTCTTTTGAACGAGGATGCAGTCAGAGAGCAGTGAGGCACTCTGCCAAAGACTAAAACAATACATTATTCCATTATAATTCTGCTCTCATGCCATGAATGTGACTGTGTACACCATCTGTATCTGTCCAAGTATGTGGGGTAGTTTGTATAAAAAGCAAGCCAACTAGCCCCTTGTGACGATTCCTTTTCAAAACTGAGTAATGCCAGATCATCTGAATTTGCCAAATTTTGAGTCTGACCATCGCAATGCATATCCTATAGCTACCCTCTGCATTTACATCTCCTGACGTCAAGTTAAAGAGGCTTATAGAGTGATCCATGGAGAATTTTACTCTGGCTCTTGTGAGGAGATTACAGAGGCATGCAGCATGGATTTACCATCAGGGTTTAGGTGCTTTACAATGGAGTCCCAGGGAAAAACACTGGTTGTCATTCAGACTGGGATGTTAGAAGAGAAGAAAGAGGAACCACTTGGACAAAAGTCATCCCATGAAAAGCAC